AACAGAGACGACAAAAATATGTTCAATGTGACATCATCAAACACAGATAGGGATAATAGGCTGCTATAATTGGCACAACAGGGAGCCGCTGTAGTGTAGCCGCCATGATTAATTGGCACTTTTCCGTCTTTTCAGACGATCGTGCAATATTTCGCTATGAGGAGGTACACGCCTATGGCGATGGCGAGTGTGACTAGCGAGACCCGCCCGTGTCAAGACAAATCTTCCACAATGATAGCAATTAATTTCACGACACCGGGAAGGCTAGCCCGGTCAACAAGTAGGATGGGTAGGCCGAAAGGTGCAAATATCGCAGCCATGCTGTAAACGGACACAAAGCAATTACATCTTCGGATCAACTCAGAAGAAGAAGATTTCAGGACCACTGTTGTAGCCCGCATAGGGAGTTTCGAAACTCTTGCCACCACACTCAAACAAATATCTAGAAATCTCCAGTACGGATCAAATCTAATTTTTGCATGTCTTAGAGTTTCCCACGTCCTTGTGATTCCATAATGTATATACGCCCAGCCAGATGCTGCTGTTTTCTTACAGCAGCGATTTTTGCTGTTGTTGTTAAACTAATAATTTACGTTCCAGTGAAAAGTAGAATATACAGTATCTGTGACACGTGCCGAGTGTGCTTGGATATCATTCAAATAGAAGAGAGGCGTGGTGTCATTTTTGATAGCCAATTCTCCACTAAATGAAAATAAACAGCAGCCTAGGAGATACTTCTTCTGGAGATGACCACCTAATAGTAAAACGCTTATGAAACTCGTGCAATGTGATGTTTTAAACAGCTCCCCTTACTCAGTTTACTCAAGTTAGTGTAAGCATGATGATTGTTGCAGTTAATCGGCGTCTGTTTCTTCATTTACTGCAAATAAGTCAATATGAAAACGTGATGTTTTTTACATTTTTAAAAACAAAACAAAAAAAAAATCTTACAAGGACATGATTATTGGCAGACTGCTTGGCAAATTGCAATACCTTACAACGAACTGTTACAGAGTAACAGATTTTTAAAGTTCGCCAGGACTTCTGGAACTGACTGTAGATGCCCGCCTGTGGATCGAAATGTTTGGCTCTTGACAGAGCCAGACCTTATTTTTGTAAATGACCTTGGCTCCCAGGTCGACCATGCCTCAAACAGGTACAAGGTACAGTCATGGGACGTAAAGGCTGCCGGCGTAATATTGACATGATACATTGAGTGCCAATAGTTCTATAAAATATAAGTCTAACCCTATATACGCAATACCTAAGTAGGCGTGCACATGGGTCCTCTGCTTTACTTTTTTACTGGCACACATCAACCCCTGTCAGCCAAAAAACTTGGCAAAAATAATCAGATCACAATTACAACCGAAGCTGTATTCAGCAGAGTTGAACGTGGTTGATTTCCTCCTCCCCCCTCCCCAATCCAACCACGGATGAACGAATTAGCGGGACACCTGCCAGAGAAAGTCAAAACTGCATACAGGAGGGGGAGATAAGGATGAGATTGTACAAGTTAATTATGCTGGTAGAGTTAAGATTCATTCCATTCAATGATGAGTGTGTTGATGAGACTTGATAATAATAATTATAATTTGTAAATTCTATTTTATGCTGATCGTGACAAATTACGGAAATATGATGAGGAGGTATCGTGGGACCTTAATGTCCCTCAAAAGACACCGACGTTTTTTTGCACACCGAAGTTTTTTGCATGTCACATGATTATTATACTGTTTAAAAAAAAACGCATAGTTACTGAAAGGAACAAACATACTCACAATTTTGACATTCTGCGTCTTTGTCATGCCGTAAGTGAAATTACTCTAATTTCTTACAAGAATGCCCTAGGGTTCCATCAATCAATTGACACCTTTTTTTTTTTTTTTTTTTGCATCTGGGTCAGGATAGTTTTTAAGCGTAGGCCTTTCTCGATAGTTTGTGTGTGTGGCCTCCTCTTGCGTGGATCAGTGATGGCATTTCCTGGGCATGGATGCAATCAGATGTCTGATGTGGGCCTGTGAGATGACTGTCCACTCTTCCCGGAGTGCCTGAAACAGATCACGACCATTGGCTGGAGCAACGTCTCGGCGACAAACACGTCATTGCAGCTCATCCCACAGGTGCTCAATCGGACTCATGTCTGCAGACAGGGAAGGCCAGGGAATGGTTTGAATGTTATTTGCAGTCAGGAACTGCGTGGTCAGCTGTGCAGAATGGGGTCTGGCATTGTCTTGTTGAAAATTATATCTGTTGGAATCCCAAAATGGAAGGACATGTGGTCGAAGGATTTCATGGACGTAACGTTATAGCATGTGACCACTAAGAAGAAAGAGTAATTTAAATATAGCCATGGACCACATTTTCGGCAATTTCTACAATAGCGAAAAGTGCTGAATCCTCAAGTTATTCACACACACACACACACACACACACACACACACATACACACACACACACACACACACACACACACACAAAGTAAAAGTCCCTTTTCAACTTCTTCAGGCGTACAGAGCATTAAGGGCTAGACCTATATTTGTATAGACCAATCGGCACAGGATGGGTGATGTGGTCTGCACCACATTTTTTGGTTTTCATGAATCACTATACTAAATCCGCTCACACAAAAGTACGCTACTTATGTTACGACTGAGTGAGTCCCAGCGGTATTAAACTACAAATACTCTAGTGGGTATATATTCTGTGGGGGCAGGATTATAGCGGAGTTTGGTGATTTACTAATGTCCCATGTTTCAGCTTTAGCATATGCAAGACGATTGCTTCTACGTGAAGGGCTGTAAGAGCAAGTCATTAGAGAGAGAGAGAGAGAGAGAGAGAGAGAGAGAGAGAGAGAGAGAGAGAGAGAGAGAGAGAGAGAGAGAGAGAGAACTAGATAACTGTAGGAAGACGTTGAGAGAAATAATTAATGTATTAATTTCGGTAAACAAATTATAAATCTTTAGAGTCAGACAACTTTATGGGATCTGCGAGGTCTCGAGGCATGGTTTCCGCCTTTTTTTTTTTTCAGTTATTTTCCTTTTTCTCTGGCTAGTGAGATCGGACGTCCGTGTGAATTGTTGCGCACGTAAAACAAAAAGCATTTGGCAGTTGGAAATCAAAAAAGAGTAGCCTAACTGCGCTGCCTGGGATACATTTGGAGTTTAAAATCTACTTTAATGACACACTTGCTCCTTTGGTTACACTCGCATATTGAGCTTATAGCCTCCTACAATCAAAAGATACCGGGGCTCGATTCCTTCGAAGGTCCGTTAAGAAAAAACGTTTTCTTAGTTTTCAGAGAGCAGTGCCATTGTCGTCCCATGATAGAGGTTGATAGCTCTTCTTCTCAAAGTGCTGGGGCCAAGAGTGGGGGAAGAAAAAAGCTAAGGAAAAAACACCACCGAGATGCAAAAACCCTCTTTATATAGTAAGACCCCCTCCCCTGGGCGCCCTTGATTATTGGAGTATTTGGCAATACCCGGGGCGCTCTCTTGAGTGTATGCAAAGACCCTATTTAATATATTTCAAGACCCCATGACCCACAAGACCCCACGACCCCCCCCCCCTGAATATATGACAATACCCCGCTCAACCCCCCCCCCCCCCCCCTCCCCATTCAGCCCCCAACCAAACATAAAAAAATAAGATTAAAAGGAGGACAATAGATTCCAAATATGGTAATCAGGCAGTAAGGAAATACGTTTTGGTCAGAATGTGTTCCTAATCTAAAAATGCCTATGTTTTCGTATTATTAAATTTGTAATAGTAGATATACAAACTGCTAATGAAGACACACACACACACACACACACACACACACACACACACACACACACACACACAAATCCCTAGGAATTTTATTGTATAAATTGTTTTTTAATTATGTGATACTTTTATTTATATTGGCAAAAAATTATTATAATAGATTATTACAAATACAAATGCACTTAATTTAATGTTACGCCCCCATCCCCCTTGAAATGTCTTTGTCAACCCCTCTTCCCTCCCTACCATTTCTTCTGGTTTAAGACGACTTTTATATTCGTTGCTGTGTGGCGCTGGTCTATGCACCACCTTCTGTCATGTTACTTTCAATCTGTTCTGACGCAGATGATCTTGCATGCCTTGACATCAAACATTGCAGCATCTTCTCTCCCTATTTCTCTTTTCTTCTTTCCCCATCATGATATTTCCCAGTTTTCCCTTTCTCGTGACATGAGCGAAGAATGTAAATTATCTTATCTCCTTCTGATGCGGTCAATCTGTTCTCGTCTGGAGTCAGTTTCGTGTTTTTTTACCTCGATACGTAATATTCCAATAATATGCAGTGTATATTTTATCAGATATTTTCTCTAGGACACGCAAGGTGTATAAAGAAACGGACAGGCTGACAGAGTTGCTGGCTCTGCGCCACTTGATGGTAAATTTGTGCATGGCTAGCTAGATGTTAAGTCACTCTGGAAGGGAGTGAGCAGTACGGAGGCCCACTTTAACTATCATAGTCTAAAAAGAGTGGTGCAACGTGGAGTGTCGCGAGTGCTACGATGTCGGTTTGTAAAACTAGACAGTTGTATGAAGACACTGCAGCCAACCTTCATCGCAAAGAGGAAAACCAAAACTATTGCCAAGCTTAACATATTTAGTTCTAAGAGAAACTGCTCAATAACGTTATGGGTCCGTGTGGAAAACAAAGTGTTGAGGCACCTGCAACAACCATTTACTTTGAATGCACACATTTTCAAGAGGCCCTACTGATCGTTGGGACCCTGAACACGTTTCCGTGGTGCCTATGTGTTGCGATGGCACTGTCTCGTCAGATCAGTACTACGGTACGGAGCGATAACTTGGAGGAAAACTGACACAGTTATCTATAAACTACAAACTCACAACATAAACAAACATAATGCATATAATATGTGAGTGTTCGTATGTAATTAAGTTTGCCATGCCTTCTTATAATAATTTATCTGTCATTCTCCACTTCCATAAGGACTTAG